ATAGCTGCCATGTCCGGAGAGAAGCTCCGAAATGAGCAGCCGGAGATCTCCTCTCGAGCGAATTCTCTTTCTCGCTCGATTCGTCGAGCGAGAGAGGAGAGGGGCGCGACTTCTTCTTCGCGAGGATCTCTATCGTGTCGTTTAGCGGCGCGCGGATCTCGTAAACGGAACGATAAATCTTCGGCTCTTAAACTTCTTAGTATCGCGCAAATGATATTACGTCCAAAGGCAACTGTTTTACAAGTTACTGTGTAATGACAGACCTCGCGCGCGGCACCACCTAACAACGGCCGCTATAAAACTTAGCCAGCGTAATGCATACTTTCGCGCCGGCCGCGGCTTGTCTATACTATTGCCAGCTTCGCTCTCTCTCTCTCTCTCTCTCTCTCTCTCTCTTTCTCTTACTTTGAACGACCGCAGCTTATTACGGTAAAACAGTTAAACGCGAAAGTGCCCGTAATAATAGCGACTACCGTAATGACTACTGTTACCCGGTAGAATCGCTGTTATGCATATTACCATTATAATTCGCGGATTATTAAGTAGCGTGCAACGACTTGATGTCCGGCCTCTGTCGTGAGGCGAACTTCAAACAGACTTGAAACAAGTTTCCCGCGATGATATCGGCCTAATTTCAAATGCTTATATCACGATTCTTATCTTTGCAGATCATAAAGATTACCACTTCAGTATGATTGTATATATTAAAAAACTGATCAATAATATCGCCATCTTTTCTCATAAATTTTGTACATCGATAATTTTCCATCTAATTTCGATTCGCTATCACGTCTATGATCATTCGAGTCGTTGTATTCGCTACTTATTCATTGCATGCAATTCCAATCATATATTTATTTCGTCATAGCCAATTATTTTCCAAGCAATGTTTTCCAAGAATATTTCACGACGTCGATTAGAGCAAACTCTTCGCTTTTGTTACGAAAAAAAAGAGGGGGGTGGGGTGGGGGGGGGGGAAATAGGCGAGAAAAATGGCGAGAATCGCGGGTCCTCGAGACAAAGAACGCGCGTTATACGGAGTCATTCCATTTCCCGAGTTCGATGACGCACCCCCGGGTCCGGTGCCAGGCCCGGGAGCTCCACCGATGATCAAGGGTGATGCGGGAGAAAGAGGGACGGGGGGTGGGGGGCTCGGTGAGCGGCGATGCGGAGCTTCGATTTCAAATTTCCTATTTCCCGACGAGTTGGCCTGTGTTGAAAACGTAGCGTGCAACGTAACAACGCGTACGCGAGAAAGCGAGAGAGAAATTGCATATACTCTGGAGCGCGAAACCCGGCGGGGGACGGGGGGAGGGGGAGGAGAAGAAATGACGGTGGAACGCGGTAGCGATGGCCGGGGGCGGCGGCGCCACGGCGGAATACCGGCAACCCCGCTTTCGCCGAGCATTTTTTCGATGATTTTCAAACGCGCGAACACGCTGTATGTATATGTGCGTACCTTCCTCCGCGCGCGTATACATGTGAACGGCCCCGATCACCCCCTTCGGCTGGGTCGTCGATGGTTGGCGTTGTTGCGCCGGGGATGCCATCGGAGGAAGCGGGGAGAGGGAGAGGGGTCGGGCGGTGGTAGTCGGCGGCAGAAAGGCGTTAGGGTGCCCCTGGGTGGAAAGAGGAGGGTTGGTGCAACGGTGTCGGTGGTTGCATGAACCGGCGGATAGATAGAGAGCGAGGGTGAGAGCGGCGGGGTGGCGTGCGAACGGAGATAGAACGGCCGTGAGATACGGCCAAGGGAACCTGGGGGGAAGGCGACGGCGGTGGTGGGCCTGCATGCACTTTTTTTTCCGCACCCCGCGTATTGATCCCGGAGTCATTCAAAATGGCGGCCGGGGCCGAGTCAGCCAATGACTGCCTGAATCGATGACTGCAGCGAGCCACCCCCGGACCGGCCAATGGGAGGCCAATGGGAGGCCGTCGCACGCCGTTCTCTGCGGGAACTACCACCCCGATATATACGAGACACAGGCCTCCCACATTGTGTACTCTGGTACATACACGTATACACATACACGTGCGTGCCTATGTGCCCGTGTACGTGTAGCTGTTGGTCCGCCGGGTAGAGCTCGTCGATGACCCGGGCGACGTCAATGATTTTCACGGAAAATTTTCCCCCCCAAAAATGGCAAAACTCGCCGTTCGCTACTCCGGCCAGGTATCCCGGACGGGAGCTCGCTGTCGCTTTGATTAACGGTCTTTCTATGTATATATTCCGTTGCTCTCTCCCACCCTCCCCCCTCCTCCCGATTGGCCCCCTCGTACTTTACGGCAAATATACGAGACGGAAAGTACTGATTGTGCGCGCGGGCAAAAATATTCGCAATCATCGACCGGCGTCTGCCATCTTTCATGATTCGCAGACTCTCGCCACCGTCACCGCCCGACAGCTTCGTTACGAAATAAACGAGATTCGTTAGCAACATTTATAATCCAGTAATCTATGAAATCATTTTAAAAAATAGATTGTTTCTCAGCATCATTACAATGATATAGACTAACGAGCGATAAATTTTATCTTCATATTTTCGTCGCAGCCACGCGTGCATTTCAAGTCGTTTAATAAATCATTTCGTTCTTTCGTCGCTTTTAATATAAAATTACGAAATTGAAAAGATTTGCAAATAATGAAAGACGATTGTTCATTCAAACATGAGTCTCATACGTCAACGAGTACGTGACAATCGTGATTCAGTAAATTCGGCAGTTTTAAAAATTAAATCTAATATAATTATCTCGTCATCTTTTCACGCGAGAGAGAAGAGATATTCCTGGCGCGCGGTTTCCAAACTTCAAAATGCCAGCGTGGATTTTACATTCGCTGGTAAGAATGGTACGCGTCGTATTTTTCCGATAACGCAAAGCGCCAATTCTTTTTTTTTTTTTTTCCGGAATGACTGTCGCGATGCCGGCCGAAGTCACCGCGCTATCTTCTTCACCTTGATCCTGCATCCGCGCATGCTTATCTTATCTCGCTCGCGGTTCGCGCAAAGTCTCAGAAAAATAACGAGAATGATAGATACAGTCAGTACTCAAATCAATCGTTCCTCGAGCAATCATCGTCACGCTAGGATTTCTCGAGACCTCTTGATTCTGGGACCCCGAGGCCGAGGTCGATATTTGGATTTGCTCCGAGGTTGTTAAAATTTCAGGTGTGCACACCGACAGGATCGATCAATCGCGTCCGATCGCGGAATTCGTTGCCGCACTTTGCGCATAGCGCGGGGCAAAGAGAATGTCGAAACTGCGCGAGGCACGAGGCACACGATTGCATCACGAGTCGCAGTGTGCGGCGAGCTGCGTTACGTCTGTGTGTGCATATGTACTTAGATTGGCTCCTATTGACACAGCCGCAGACGACGGTGGTGGTACAGTCGGGAAAAATGCATACGACGAATGCGTTCCGCGTCCGTGCCGTGAGCTTTGACAACGCTCACGCACACGCCTTTGATCTCGCGACGCAATATATTTGATATCCCGAATTATCCGGAATCGACCTCGGATATCCATTATATCGTCCAAGCGGATCGGTTGCATCCAAACGTCGCGTTTACACGCGTTCGCTCGACGAGAATCTGCAATTCATTCTTTTTGCCCGCTTTTATCCTTTTCACGCGGATAAATTATGCCCCCTCAACCGCGCCGCGGTCCGAAATAATTTGATTCATTACGCGCGTTTGCCGCGTTTGGTTATATTTAATGCGACGATATACGGTATGCACGCGTATGCACGTATGCTCGCTCGTGTCTGACGAGCGCATTCTCATATTTAATGTAAATCAAATTTAGAACCGGAACAGAGTACACTGGACAGTGGTGAGCCGATTCTACACGTTTGCTCGATTACTACGGTTAATTAGCCGTTCGTCCGAATGAACTTGAAAAATTCATGAGGTGTCTCGCTGCCACCCGTTCAGTTTTTCGGATCGCTGACTCGCTACAATTCCGATGCATCGATGACCTCGCTTCAATGTTCGATGCATCGCAAATTGAAAGAACGTCGCGCGCAATTTTCCGCGAAACGGTAGAATATATACTATATAGCCGCTCATACTTTTTTCTATTAAAATTTATTTGCATTAAAATATTGCATTTAATATAGCATGAAATTTTTTGATACGCGTTAAATATCGCGTTAAATTTACCGCAGAGGATGCAAAAAAATTTCACTCTCGTCGTTTGAGAAACATATGCATCTCGTCGCGCAACAAGGGGAGAAAGAACGGCCGATGCACTTTCTGACGAAGCTGTACTAAGTGCACGACAGAATGGGTTTTTCTAGCGCGGGCAGTTTTTCTATTAAGCTTCATTTGTTTCTTTCATTGCGTAATGCGCCGGACGCGTCGCTCATTTCATCCTACTGCCGACCGGCTACTCCTACCGTTAGAATTCTTAATCCGGGCCGTCAGTTTCGATGGCTCGCGTGCTGCGCGTTCCACCGATTCGCCGAATCGCGACCGTCGCGACGATCTTAATCTCATTTCCCGCCGAATAAAATAGTGCGCCTTCCCGTATTGCGACGTATTCGCCAGATAATGTGATAACGCGCGTGATGTGGTCGAGGATTGAAATCGATGTAACATAGCTTGGTGAGTTCAATTGTCTGACGTCCCGCTTTTATCGCCGTAGAAAATCTTATTTTTATCTATAAATTTCAAATATATATTTATCGATATATTCTGCTCTAGTCACATTGCTCAAAGATATTTTATGTAATTTAATTCATACGAGAACATTAATTGATCTCTTTAGAATATAAAATAATATAAAGAATATAAAAGAATATATAAAGAATATAAAAATCTAATATACATTTTTTTAAACTTTTGCGTATTTGCTTAAATTTTATTTCAGTGGTACATCATTTATATCTTTAATGAATGCGTGTATCGTCTAATCACATATACTCGCATTTACCGTTATCGCCCCTTCGTCCTGATCGATATTTTACCGAGGTTAGCACGGACAAAAACCTTAAAACGACTCACCCTTTTCTCCACTCGTTCGTTCCCTCGTTCCTTATTTCGCCGCCAGACGTCACCTCGCCACGGGGTAGTTCTTACGGCGAGGGGTTGAGACGAGACTACTTCACACGAGCAGCAAAACGAATTCCTGGAACAAAGCGATTCGAATCAATTATTATTATCTGATTGTTATCCTCTATAAATCTTTTTACGTGACAGACACACACATTAAAAGTTAAAAATATGCATTTATATATAATCAATCATGAAATTTGAATATTGTATACGTTGGTCTTTCTTTTTTTCCATTTCGGATTCATAACCGTTTTCAATAACCGAAAATCTAATCAATGACTAATCAAAAACTATTTTCTTAAATCGAAATGGAAGAATTTCGAGAATTGTCAGAATACTAGTCCTTCTATCGCGGGCCAGGAAATTCGAAAAAGACATATATAAGACATGCGTTAACAAATATCCCGGCGGTATTTCCACCACCTGACGACCATCTCCGTCGACACATTTTCGCGCACTCCCCCGCCGCCGGCACTTTCGCGAGGAAGAAGAAGGCGGACAATTCAAAGTAGGCAGGATCAGGCCCAGAAGACAAATGTCTTCCTACGCAGAGGCGGCGTACGTCCTATCGGGGTAGTCGATCGGCTCGATTCTCAAAGCACCGCGCCGCGCCGGCACAACTGGCCGTCAAAGTTGCAAGTGCACGTGCAACAACTTTCGTACGCGCCAAGTACCCGCGGTCTGTATGTCCGTTAGTCGGTTCTTCAAGTCCAGCTGCCGATCGGGATCAAGGGGGAATCGGGATCGGGATTGAGATCTAAAATACTGCGTACGTACGAAATGTACATACGCGCGTGCAGCATACGCGTATATTCACCTACACACGCACGTATACCTGGACAATCCACCCACCCGATAAACCGAGCGCGGACGCTCGATTCTCACCTGTTTTTATCCTCGCGTACGCCGCGTCGGGCCGGCCGCTTCATTTGTAATTTAAAGTGAGCCTCGATTGCCCAATGCGTTCTACGTACTTATTTTCGGAGCTCCGAAGGAACACACTCGCGCGCGTATACAACGAGCGAGTCCCTCTCTCTTTCTCTCCACCCGCATACGAGCGGTGCCGAAATTCTTACCACGGCGGCAGCCTGCCGCGAACGGAAGTTCGATCGCGATCGCTCCCCGGCCACTTTCGTGCCGGAGACCCTCGTGTCGGAAATGCGTTACTTTCGTCCTATACATGCCTTCCGGTGACGTCCGATAAACTGAATATTTCTGCACTTGAATCTCGCAAAATTTTTCATAGCTATTAGTAGATATTTAGAGCTAATCTTGGACATCTCTCTTCATAAGTACTTTTTTTATATGTTTTCAAGACGTATCTCTTAGAAAATCATATCATATGGTAAATCTATTTTATTTCAATATTATTACAAAATTGAAATTTACTTAATTTTTTATAACTTAAAAAGAGACTTGTACCTCAATTGAGTGCAAAAGAGATTACGCTGCTAGAAATAGTATATCGAGTTAAACTAACAACAAAATGTCATCAATTCTCTGTCGCTTTCTAAAGACATATCTATAGTCTGCTTAGACATATATGTGCAACGAAGCGAGCTGTACATCGGAATAATCGATTTCATCATATATACCGATCGTCGTAGTACATCTCTTTAAGGAGCGGAAAACATTTTTCGACGGTCCATCGCACCGCGACAAAGAAGGTTATCGCGCGCGTGGTATCGCACGTGCGACAAAGGTCACTCGATTTTTCCACCATCGCCGGACGGCCGAACCATTGGCTAACTTTTTTCGCACGACGGTCCACCACCCTCGTCGCACGCGCGTTGGAAGAGACGCGGATAGGGTCGACACGATGTGGGTGGAGGGATGCGACCGGACGCGTCGCGACGCGACGCTACGCTACGTGACGCTCTTTTCTTTGCTCGCCGTTTCTTATCGTCGCTGCCCTTCCAATCGAGGGAAGGAAGAGAGACAGAAGGTTGGAAGGGTGGACGCGTTGTTGCGTCGTCTCGGACGACCAGCGGGATTCACTTGCGCGGATGCTAGGGGCAGGGTGATGGAAAAAAAAGGGGTCGCGCCTCCCCACCCTCTGGACTCATACTTCCACGTGTATACCACGTGGAAAAAAGGACGAGGCCAGCGTAAAAAAGCGGCGCGTGGGGGTCGCGTTGGTGGGAGGGGTGTGCGAGACGAGCGGGCGGCTGAGGAAGGGAGGAAAAGAAGGGAGAGAAAAGGATGTAGCAAAAGGATGTCGGGTGGCGTACGCGAGGCTCAACAAGGGAAAACATGGCAGGAGAAGGATAGACGAAGGAGCGTGCAGGGAGGGAAAAGACGTTGACGGAGAAGGGAGGAATAGGAGCCCCTAATGCGATGGTGGGGCATGTACATTAGATGAGAGCTCGGAGGAAAGGAGGGAGGAGAAGGGTAGAGAGGGGTGGGTGGCTCGGTTGTCTACTTTGGCGAGCGAGGGTGCGTAAGACGAGCAGGATGACCACCATCGACCACCCTCCGCCGTGAAATGAGCATCAGCGCGTCCACTGGAAAGTCGACGTCCTCCGCAAGGTCGATGATCCACGTTTAAATCACGATTTGACTTTCAAAACGCGGGGGGGGGGGGGAAGCAAGAATGATGGATAGGCCAGATCGACTAGATACATTTGAATCCGTTTTCTCGGCTCGATCAATGGACCCGCAACGCTCAATCGACTTAATTGTCATCGAGTCGCGAGTAAAGTTTGCGCGTTATATCGACGCGAGTCGCGAACTACGTAACTCGGGCACGATCCGTATAAAAGAAGGATAAAAAAGAAAGCCCGCCCCACTCCCCCACGGTATAGTTAGTCACGCGTATGTTGCCATACGGGACACATGAGGGAGGATTGACTTTCAAAACGCGGGGGGGGGGGTGAAGCAAGAATGATGGATAGGCCAGATCGACTAGATACATTTGAATCCGTTTTCTCGGCTCGATCAATGGACCCGCAACGCTCAATCGACTTAATTGTCATCGAGTCGCGAGTAAAGTTTGCGCGTTATATCGACGCGAGTCGCGAACTACGTAACTCGGGCACGATCCGTATAAAAGAAGGATAAAAAAGAAAGCCCGCCCCACTCCCCCACGGTATAGTTAGTCACGCGTATGTTGCCATACGGGACACATGAGGGAGGAGGCCATTTTTATACGACGGTCCCCCTTCTTTTTATTCATACCTCAGACTGCTACACCCCCTTACGCAGAAGCCCCCTACAATTTTTCGTCAGTCGAATATCCCGATTCGTGGCGTTCGCATGTCTTGCGCCAGTCATTTATATATATCTCTGTAAACGAGAATCCTTTAATCCGCGTGGGTGTTAAATCCGCGAAAAGAGAAGAAGCAAGTGAGTTTACGCGACGGAGATGATCCGCGACGAACGAGCGAAAAGTTTTCAAGGACGTACCCTTAACAAAAAGAGCTCGCTCGGTCCGAGAGCTCGTACCGGCTTCGCGTACTTACATGCGCCGGAATGTAACCGCGAAGTGTAAGATAGCAATCGAGATAGACAGGGATAGATAATCGGTTCTTACGACCGTTTCCTTCCCTCCTGCCGGGAGGGTTTTCTTGGCCGGGCGAAACGGAGACGGAGAGCGGCCCCACTCTCTTTCTCTCACCCCTTACGACGCTACCCCCGTACGAGGCGTCGGCGGAGTCGGCGGCGGAGAAACCCCCACCCACCCACCTGGACGAGGGGTGAAGAGAGAGGAGAGTTTGAGGAAAAGGGGGAGATAGAGCGCGCGCCTCGGCGTCGTATCTGGTGGGGGCAAAGGAAAAGAGGGGTAGCTTGAAAACTCCTGTCCTACGGCGGCCTCAGTTTTTCGTCCTCACGGAGGTAGATTTTCGTCGTGGGTGGACGCGGCCGGGGTCACGAGTCGGTCCACGGTAACCTGGGCCCGCGCCCGGGCCCGTCGGACCCGCGTACGAGATCGCCGTGGTGAAGAAACAGCGTACGGCGAAGGCGCCCCGAGGTGGCCAGAAATTTCGCGGCCGCGCACCACCTAAGACAACGCCCCTACCCGAACACGCGTTCTTTAAGGCACGAGGGGGTGGCTTTTAGTCAGACGCACGCGGTCTGAGAAGCGCGCCACCACCGGCCCCCGACGGAGAAGGACTTAGCGTTTCTCGCGAGCCGCAGACCCGAGTCAGTTTCGGTTCCTCCTCCGTCAAGGACTCGAACGCGGAAGAGGAGAGAGCTTTTTCCCCCGTCGTACGTCGTCGTCGTCGTCGTCGTCGTCGTCGTCGTTGTCGTCGTTGTCGTCGTCGTCGTCGTCGTCGTCGTCGTAGTCATCGTCGTCTTCGTTGTCGTTACCGTCGTCGTCCTCCGAAGAGGAAGAACAGTGTCTTGGCCGATACCGTGCACGAAGGTCGCGAGCAGCCGGACCGAGGTGCAACGATTTTACGTATTACGCGCATTACCGACCATCGCCGACCGCATCGCTCTGTCAACTTACTCGCCCGTACTCTTGGATCTCTCTCAGTAAGGAGATCCTTCCGGACTCTTTCTCTCCGGAATAATTCTATCCCGTACGATCTTGTGTCTCAAGTTGTGTCAACGTACGACTCTGCGACCGAAGCCCGATTAGTAAACCCGATCGACGACGCATCTGCTTTACTTTCTTCTTCTTTCTCGTGTCATTTTAGCCAGTTTTCCCCACTTTCGGCCATCGAGACCACCACTGACCCACCCCCTCCTATCCTCTGTTCCGAATCCTGACATGCCCGGTACGTCATCGTCGCCGTCTCAACAGTGTTTCGTCGCAATCGCACACGCTTCGATCCCGTCTCGATTCCCGGTAGTGATACGATGTGCTTCGGTAAGATCGCGAAGATACGAGGACAAAAAGACGGAAGAGAAAAAAATAGAGATTAGATCTCGATCATCGTCCCGAAATACGTCGTACTCGCGCCAACGGTCACGCGAATCATCATCTCGATGATATTCGTGATCGCGGAATTACACGGCGAACAATAAACGTAACGAGTCGCTATGTCGCGAGTAAACGAGTTAGCAATTATGCGAATATCCGCGCGTGACCATTACGGATCGTTAATTCAACAAGCGGGCGACAAT